GGAGGAGAGGAGGAGGAGGAGGCGGAGGAGGAGGAGGAGGAGGGTAGTAGTAGCGGCAGCGGCAGCAGCAGCAGCAGCAGCAGCAGCAGCAGCAAGAGGAGGAGGAGGAGTACTGGTAATAGTAGGAGTAGGCGTACGAGTAGGAGTAGGAGTAAGAGTAAGAGTAAGGGCAACAATGTTGCCATTATTCAGAACGGCACAAGCAACAGTGATATGATCAACAGCAAGAGCAACAGAAATGAACGACGACAACAACAGTCTCAGTAGCAATAGCAAGAAGGGCATTTGGGACCTTTGAGGGCTCGGGTCCACAGGCCGAGAGCTCCGGTGCCAGGTGATGTTCGACGGGGTGATGCCCAGCATGTTCGTGTGAGATACTCGGCGGGCTTTCGGGCGACTGCTCGAACTGTTCAATCAGAATTTGGATCCCGCTGCAAGTTCGTCAAGCAGGTTTGACATGGGTAAGTCTGGTAGGAAGCTGACCGTGGTCAGGAAACAGATGCAGACAGCGGCCGAGAAAGCACCCGACATGCGGACTTCTGCTTTCACATGCCCGATCACGGTCCGATGTGTGGTTTGGTCTGCCATGAACTGCCATGTCATGGTAAGTGTCTGGGTAACTGTCTCTCGTCCTGCTTCGGTTGGGCGATGTCCGGCATTCTGTCTTAGTCGATGTAGTGGCTTAGACACTGAAAACGGAGGCTGTCGCGAGAACGAAGGCGTTCTGGCACTCTGGTTCAACAGGCTTTCCCGAGCTCTTGTCACAAGGGCCGCTCAGACCCACGGAGAGATGACCATCATGATGATGATGATGGTGGTGAAGATATGGTTGGAGCACGGAAGTTTGCGTTTGAAATGCAGACTTGAGCAACACGTACGCCATCAGTGCGATGCACTAGCTCACTAGCTGAGACGACAGATCCGAGTACTGCGGGCTGCCGCACTGGCTAAACGTCATTCACGAAGCACTCCCGCCGTGTGCCACTGTCCTTCTGCGAGTTTCTGAGGCTCTTCGAGTCCATCACCTGCTGGAGTTTGATGGGGCCCAGTCCTTAGAGGTTTGGGCTTTTAGGGGTTTCGGGGTTTAGGGCCTTGGTTTCGGGGTTTCGGGGGTTTAGGGCCTAGGGTTTCGGGGTTTAGGAGTTTGGTTTAGGGGTTTAGGGTTCGGGGGTTTGGGGGTTTAGGGTGTTGGGGGGCGTGCCCGAACCCTTCCCAGCTGCAGTATAGAGCTGGGAAGTGTTCGCAAACGGTATTCACGGCCCCTAAATCTTGAGAGCCAACCCCACAGCCTATAGAACCCCAAAGACAAACCCTGTGGAGCACTACTCCGAGGTTCACGCCGCTCTTCCGCATGAGCCCCGGAAGCAGGCACAGTGCTTGGAGGGTTTTGCTTCTAAGGCTTCAGAAGGGTCTCAACAGCGGTTTCACCGGGCTTCATTAAGGGATCGAGCGGGCCTCAATGGTGTGAGCTACAGGGTGTACCTGCGTTCACCCGACCCCTTTGGATGGGTCTCTGAAGGCTTGGGAGGCGAAGCGGAAGGGCCCCAAGGCAAGCAGCTGGAATTAGCATTCGGGCCTCACGGGAAGGAGTCCGAGATGTGCCGTTCTCACGTTTCAAACCTAGACCCTCGGCGCTAAAGCGCAGGTTTGTGGCAGTGATCTTCTACATCTTTGCGGTGGGCGGCCCAGACATCTGGTATCTTTGAATGCTGACATGCCGATGCGAAGGATGCTGCAAGCCTTGTTAGGGAGAAGGGTTTGGACTCTCTTCAATAGTGCAAAGAACAAGACGAACACCGAAGGAAGAGCGAAGAACTCACGCGACACCATGGGCGGCGAACTAGCCGCTTAGCCTCTGCTGCGCAGAATTGGGGCCTTCTGGCGGTGATGACGGGCGTCGTCAGTGAGAAGATGATGGCCACGAAGGAGCCCTGAGCCTCTCTGCCTTCAGCTCTGTCGGTTCCGTTGAGCGGACTCCAACTGCAGGAGCGGCTCACGGCGTCCTGGCCTCGGAGATGAAGCCGAGCGCGACAGCAGCACACAAGAGCGATCTCTATCACATCGTCCTCGTGGGCTCATGTCCGCCGCCATATGCAACCTGCCAGGGAGACAGATGACGGGCCGCAGAAGCACGACCCGAGCAGCAGTCACATGGCGCAGCTCGAGGGAGTGCGCCATCTCAGCGCTGTGACCATGATGCGTGCCTTGAAAGCCTAGACTGGGGTTAGCTGCAGCAGGTGAAGTGGGATGCACTCCGAGCGACTTTTGACGGCTCAGACCCGTAGTCGATTCCCGTATACTCGAGAGGCCTAGAAGCACAATGCCTCGCTCCGGCGCACGTACCTCCAGCAGCGGACCGAAGCGCGCGGCGCCGGCCGCGCAGGCGCCGCCACCCGCGCAGCACCGTGCTCCGCCGCCAGCTGCTGCGCCCGCAGCAGCCCCGCCAGCAACCGCCCCAGCCGGTGGGGGCATGCTGTCGGGCCTCATGGGCTCCATGGCCTCAGGCATGGCCATGGGTACCGGCATGGCCGTGGCCAACCGCGCGGTGGATGCAGTGATGGGGCCCCGTCAGACGGAGGTGGTCCACCGCACAGAGGGTGCGCCTCCTCAAGCACAGGCCCAGAACACGTGCCAGTTCCAGCAGGAGCAGTTGGCGCAGTGCCTCAAGTCGTCGAGCGATGCCACATCCTGCCAGAGCTTCATGGATGCCTTGAAGGCAAGAGACCAAACAAGCCACACGAACTGAAAAGAGAGAGAGAGAGAGAGAGGGAGAGATTAACAGACCCCTCATGCCCTGGGGAAGAAGAGAGGGAGAGAACAGGTGAGACAAGATTGCGTGAAAACGCTGATCAGCCCTGCTTTGAAGGCTTGCCAGCAGACCGCATGAGGTGATCGCGATACTGATCGATGACTCTTGAGCAGGCCTTGTTGGCTAGGGTTCAGGCAGGTGCTTCTCAGCATCAACGTTTGTTGCGAGTTTTGTTCTGACCTGTGTTGAGCTGCTGCGACGATGGACAGACAGAGTATGACAGAGTGGTTGCAGCGAGTGGAAAATTGTGGGAAGACAGCGTGTTGATGCTCCGAGACATCTCGAGTCAGCTTTTCACAGAGACAGCAGACCCGAGGATGCTGCCGCAGCTCTGGCTCAGGGCTCTGCAGTAGGAGGTCTTGCAATGATCATCAATGAAATTGTGTACAAATTTCTCAGCCGGTGGCGAGACTTCTTCGGATTGAAGTCGGGAAGTCCAATGCCTGAGGCTCAGTAGCTTGAGTTCAAGCTGCTACTTCACTGTAGTATGTGCATCCTTGTATATGCTTAACCTACACATACATGTATGCAGACCCGTGTCGAAGTGCGGGAAGATTTTAGATTTCGATTGTGATCCCCGACCATACCGAAACGGAAGGCCACGAAGGAATGCTCTCCCCTGGGCACTGTTGTGGACGCTTCCAGGACCTTCAGTCCTCGTGCGAGTCTGCATGCTTTTTTCCTGCCTGTTACCATTTCAGCACCGGGTGGTCCACGGAACAGGGCCGGCGTGGCTCTTCAAGTTCCATCCTTCGTGTGCAGACGGGAAAGATGGGAAAGCCTAGATTCTGGACCTGCCCAAAACCCCTCCTTCCCCTTCCCAAACCCCGATTATCTTAGCAGTCGAGTGCCCTGTGCAGCAACCCGTGTGTCTAACCCCGAAGGTGAACCAGTAACCCTTCAAAGTGCCACTTGGCCCCTTCACGCCAGACCCTAGACCCCACACCCTAAACCCTAAAGGCCTTAATCACTCCGAGAGTAGGCTTTTATCCCTGGCTCTTCGCCGCGTGGCTTCGCCCAGGTTGCTACACCATTTGGCCGAGCGGGACTTCTTGGCTTGTCAGATCCAGTAGGGGGGCGGGCAGTCCAGAACCTCTCCCTCTCCCGCTCCCTCTCCCGCTCTCTCTAATCCTCGCTCGCTCGCTCGCTCTCTCTAATCCTCGCTCGCTCGCTCGCTCTTCTCGCTCTCTCTCTGCGTATATATATATATATACACACACACATACACACATACTCTGTGTAATGCATGCATGTATGTATGTATGTATGGATGGATGTATGTATGTATGTATGTATGTATGTATGATAGACACGTAGATAGTCAGACAGATGGGATGGCTGGATGGTTAGATGGAAGCAATGATGGACGTATGTACATAGGTACGTATGTAGGTAAGCATGTAACTATGTGAGTTGGTTGTTGATTATTCATCTAATCAAATTCATTTTCTGTTTGCCTATGTGTACATGTACCTATCTATACATATACATATACATATATATATATATATACATACACACACACAGATATATATATATATATGTGTGTGTATGCATACTCTTTCATGTTCCTTCATCTACGGCAAGATGATGCACCTGTCTCCGAATGTATGTCCGCCATGCATGCATGCATGCATGCATGCATGCAGCACGTGTTCATCGCTGGAGTCTATGAAAGACGTGTGCTTCTCTAGCACAGGATCGGACGAACGTCCGAAAGCAGGCACAGGTGAAGGAGACCAGGTTTCGTGACAACTTACACCTGTTATTGGTATTTTCGCAGCGAGGACACAAACCTAGACCACCAGATTCTCGCTCGCCCGCCAGCCTTTGCCAGGAGCTGGGTCTCTTCACCCTGGTCTTCTCCTACCTCGACGGCCGCACCTGCGCCCGTGTCTCTGCACTCGGCTGCTGGGCCAGCCATGCAGCCTCCAGGGCCTCGGCGGTGCCGCGCCAAGACAGAGAATGACAGAGAGAGAGAGAGAGAAGCCCTGGCGAAAGAAAAGGAGGGGGAGAGGGAGGGGGAGAGAGAGACGCCTTTAGATAAAGAAAGAGCGGAGCAAAGACCGGTTTACCAGGTCGATGACTGTTGATGGGGCGGGAAACACGGGACAAATCGGGAAACCTTGCGAGGCCTCGAGGCTCAGTCTCCAAACCTCAAGCGATCGCGAAAGCGAGAGAGCCCGAAGTCAGAAGCCTGAGAGCCCTGCGTTCCGAGGAGAACGTCAAGCTTAGACTGCGAAGTGCCGGCCTCCTTTTAAGCCGGTGGCAAGGAGGAAGGACGCTTGGATTATCTTGGATTCGGTCGCTTGGAAATTGTCGTCTCTCAGCTTGTTTCCGTTCACAGCAAGGTGGAAGAAAAGGGAGCGTCACATCGCATTTTCTCATGCTTTCTCCCGAGCAGATTAGATTGGCATTTTTCAGCCTGTGGTTCGGTGAGGGTGAGGAGGCTTATTGGCGTCATTGAGGTCGGCCTAGGGGAGGCTTAAGGTTATTTGGGGAGGAGGGGTTTGGGATCCGCCCTAAACCCTAAACAGGCCCTAAACCCCTCAACCCCCCAAGCCGTTTTAAAAGGTACGAGGGGCCTCCGTTTCTGCAGCAGCACGACCTCGAAACCGCCGCGCGGCATTTCGCGGCCCGGCTCTTTGGGCCAAGGGCCGCATTCTCCGAAGCATTGCGAAGTTGGGGTTTAGGGCTCAAAATATAGTTTAGCTGCTAGACATCATATACCATAATATGCTATATTACATCAAATCACCCTTATGTTATGCTTGTATGACGGCGATCTCCGCAGCACTGCGCTGCGGAGTGAGATGGGTTTTGGGGCAAGCAATCCTGGAGGGAAGTCGCTTGAACGGCCGTGCGGAATACCTCTTGGTTCATCAGCCACATTGAGTGCCTTATGCTTCCCCTGAGAAGCAACACGATCTCGAAAGCAGCTCAGGCACAACAGGACCAGCACAGGACATCCTCCCACAAGTGACAAGCCCCAGGTCTTGTCTCTGGCTTGGTTTCCCAGCAGAAGACATGGACAGAGAAGAGCAGACACTGGAGCTGGGGCTTAAGTACTTCAAGGTCTCGTTTCATTGCAAGTGCCTAGCCCACACCCCGAAAAACCGCGTGCTGAGGCGACCATTGCGGGAAGGTATTCGCTGCCCGAGCATTCTTGGCTTGTTACTGCGTGATACGGGGAACGGAGGTTGTAAAACTTTCAAGGACCCGTCTAAGCCAATGAGTCGTTCACTCGCAGTTTCGTTTTGGGGACAGGTACCTCCAGAGTGTTTCTTCTTTCTGATCTTGGCACGTCCAGGGAGGTCCAGGAGGAAACGGCACTGAGGTCAGTTTTTCTCAGTGTTGTCAACGTGACAAGTTACTCTCAAGAGAGCAGGCAGCCCCCCGCAAGATGGCTTTCGACACTTTCCAAGAAACGCTTTCCACCCCAGCAGTTGCCTGGTATCTGATGTATCTGCCTGGAGTGGCCCTTACCAGTAAGCCTCGTAGCAAAGGCCTCCAGGTCATAGAGCTCCTCTTGCCCCAGAGAAGCAGCGCCAGGTACGACTGTACTTTGGACATCCAGCCCGATGGCTCTTTTCGCAACTATGGCTCCCAGCACGAAATGGTGGGACAGGCGACCATCGCTGGGGTGCTGTGGCTGGGCCACAATTTTGGGAGAGATTCTGTTCTTGGTGCGGGGGCTGGGATCCCTGTGTGGCTGAGGCAGGCGGGCCGTGTGCCTGCATCCTCCCTTGCGGATGTGCCCGAAGGAATGCAGGTGTGTTGCTTTGGCGGCAGAGTACCCCCCGTGCCACAGCCCAACTGCAAAGCTTCGGGTATTCGGGCTCTATTTTGTCTCGCTTGCAAAGGGCTGTTGCAGTTCGGCCCAAGGACCTGGGACCTGGGACACCCTACAGCTTATCCCGATGAAGCCCCCATCCCTTGGCTCATGGGGGAGTGTCCGAGGCTATATCTGCGAGTTGGACAGGTGGTACATCCGCACTATGATGGATGGAAAGGAGACTCCGCCCACTCGGTTTACTCTGCCCCGAGGACTCAAAGCAAGAAGGCCCCATGTCCGATTCCCGCCAGGTTTCCGAGAGTGCGCCAGAAAAGCCACCTTTTGACACAGAAGCCCTCCGTACTCCACTATCTTTCCCCCTCTCTCTGGCATCGATGTCTGGGAAGCCAAACGCCCCAAGCATCTCCAGACCAGAAATCCCCCGTGCACCTTCGCAGACGCCGTAAATTGCAGAGTTGCAGAATCTCCCCCTGTTTTCAGGAGATGACACCAGAAGACCTGGAGTTCACCGGGCCTGGCTACCAGACATACTCGGTGCCTTTCATGAACCTGTCAAGCGGGGTTCTGGATTCTGTCTATAGGGCTTGGGGGCGTTCATTGTTTCTGGGTATTGCCTGACTTGTTTTCTCAGTCGTCTGTCGCCTCCTTTACCTTCCGCACCTTATGAAGCGCCAAGCCCTGAACTGCAATCACGAGGTGCACGCCTGGCTAGAGCCCCTCCCTGGCAGCAGCTTTGCAGACGGTGCATTCATGGAGAACCGTCCGAGACCAACTGCCCAAGACGCTCGGTTCAGGATTTGGGGCTGCAGGTTTTCAGGGCTTGGGGCCGGGATGCCCCCAAGTGCAGCCGTGACGCAAACAGTGGCCCAGGGTCTCTTCCCGCGCAGACTTTACATTCGCCTGAATCTGAACCCACCGTGAACCCTCAATCCCAAACTCAAGCGTCCCAAAGCCAAAGGACGGGTGGATGCTTGAGGAGAACCCCCTCCGTCACCCCTGGCATCGCTCTTTACCCTGGCCAGAGCTCGAGAAAATGCTCCGGAGCTCTGGCAACGCTCGGGCCCTGCAGTAGGGTGCCCGGTCGGAGGTCGACAAGAGGCCCCAAGCAGCCCAAACTGGAGTGAAGAGAGTAGCATCCTTGGGGTTTTTTCGGTAGATAGATAGATAGATATATATATATATATATATCTATCTATCCGACACTTCATACATGGATTCAATTCGGCTTCCAAGGCTTGAGCGCGTTGTCGGCTTGTAGGGTTTTCTTTAGGCTTTGGGTTTTCGCCCGAAATCTTCGGGCCGTCCCAAGAGAGGATCGTCCGGCGAAGAATCCGAGACATGGTTTTCATACCAGTGGTCACGCCTCTGGCGCCACGCCTTCTGCTTCAAAGACAGACAGAAAGGGATGCGTTGCCGGAGAGGTGCCGGAAAAAAGGCGTTTTTCGTGTCTTTTTCCGACCTGGGCTGGGACCCGCAGAATTGCTCAAGTCTCGAGTATTCAAAGTTGGTGTTGGCATGTGTTGGCTTTGCCATCAGAGCTCCTAATGCTGTCTTGGGTGCTTCAACAAAAGAATCTTAAGCACGTGAAATCACAGAGCAGGGTTTTCGAGTCTTTGGCGACTCGGCCGCAACATTCAAACTCACCAGCTTTGTCCTCCAGGTACTGATGGACTTCTTCCGGCGGGCCTGGCACCAAGCTTTTCGCAATTCTGCAGCTGACACGACCAACAGACTAGTGTTGACAACAGTCTTACCAATATCTAATTCCCAATGAGTCCTTTAGCAATGGAACACTCTCAGTTGGCACACTATCGTTGAGATGTGTCTTCATCGTTGTTTTCCAGTTTGCGGGCTCCCGTGCGCCAGGAAACTGCAGACAGAAACGCAAGGGGATCAATGCGCACGCAGAGGTATATGTGTGTATGTTTGTAGCGTATGGAAGTATGCACATGTACATGTATGTATATGCCTGTGTATGTAATGTAATGTAATGTAATGTATTGTATTGTATTGTATTGTATTGTATGGTATGGTATGGTATGGTATGGTATGGTATGTATGTATGTATGTATGTATGTATGTATGTGTGTGTGTGTATGTATGTGTGTATGCGTTTTGTACACATATATGTAAATGTATGACATGTATATGTATATATACACGCATATGTATAGGTATTTGTATACGTATATGTATATGTACGTACACAGGTATCCAATCAGTTAATGCGTGGGATGCAAGGGCTTCGGCGCTGCAGAACACCGAAGTGCGACAATTAGCTCCAGGCAGACACGGATGGTTCCGGCGAGGTCTCCAAGGACGAGCCCCCTGGCAGAACAACAGTTGCGAGAATGTACATCCGTTCAGGCGTCAAGAGATTTCAATTCGAGGTCTGCATACAGCAACACCGTTTGATGGCTTCGGCTTGAGTGTGTGCCTCTGTAGCAGAAAGGGTTGTGCTCTCTTGCTCTGTGGCCAAGGGAGGAGGGCTCACGGGCTTTTTGGGTCTTCGTTTGCGAGTGGTCAAAGACAAAGCTGTGTCCCTGATTGTGGCGAGGTTCAACAATATGTTGATGTGCACCGACATCATGAAGACGGTGATGGAAGAATCCTCCATTGATGCGCAGGACTTTCCAAGGTGATTGCTTCGTATCTATGCCAACAGCCTTCAGTTTCTCCTTGGTGTGGTGCCTTGGCAGGATTTGGGTGAGCTCTTCGAGTGGTTGGACGGTGACAAGGACAGGTTGTTGCCTTGTGCTAACAGCCGAAGTGCCGACGCTTCTGTTGCTGTTCTTGCTGCTTCGGGCTTATTTTGGCCTAGGTCTAGCATATGTAGATGCATCTACTGACCAGAATGATGAGGATGTCTTGACCGTGAGGTGATACACGACGTACACGCTTCGGCTCTTTCAGCCTTTGAAGATGGGCTCTTGTGTCGCCGGAGGATGGTCTGGTGAATATCGAGGAGTTCCTGCGGGGCTTTCGCTGGCTCGTGGTGTGTCGCCCAGATGCCCGGAGAGAGGTCGGAATTGGATGGAGCTGGAGTCTTCGGTCCTTCCACGATTCACCTATTCTACTGAAATGTTTGGCTCTAAAATGGCAGGTCAGGGCACCTATGGGGGTCTTCAAGAGTTGGAGAGTGAGTCTGTGTGGCATCAAATCGACCCACCCCGTCTAAGGCCACCGTGGACCCCAAAGGCCTCCTAAAGCTGGAGGAGGCGGTCCCCTCCCTCTCGGCGCGTTGCTATGTGGTATGCATATATACCTAATATATATATATATCTAATATATATATATATTTCTGTATCATGTTCGGTGGGCATAGAGGCATATGGTTGATGAGGTTCCGGGCGAGCTTGGCTTTTCTGTGGGAGTTCTGGGCTTCTTGGATCGAAGGTTTTTTTAACCACGACACCATGCCCCTTTGGCAAGGACGGCGACGATGATAAAGGCAATAATGATGCGGTTCGTGATGATGATGATGAGGATGATGATGATGATGATGAGGATGATGATGAAGAAGAAGAAGATGATGCTGGCGATGCTGTTTGCCAGTCCGACTGATGTGGAACGATATGCTTAAGCTGTGGCGTGGTCATTGCTGGCTGTGATGTCAATGCTAAGGCTAAGACCGACGACAAATCCCAAGTCCCAGATCCCAAAACCTGACACTTGCTCCGCAAGGAGATAGCAGAGTAGCACGGGTCTTCGTAGGCCCAAACACCCCTGCTCCCCGCTGCAGCTGAAAGCTCTAAAACCCAAAACCTAAACCCGTCAAGCCCTAACCCTAGACCGCGATTCAAAGGCCCTTGCAAAGAGCTCTTTAAAGCTGACTTCAATGCCCTTTTGAAGCCTTCCAAAAGGCCCCAAACATGGCAGGAGCTCGCTGGCGACTTCCATCGACTGACTAGGCCGGCTCGGGGACGAAAAGGGCTTCGAAAGTAATTCGGGGGTGTGCAATGATGGGGACCAGCGATGTTGAGGGTTAGGGTTTAGTGAGTTTGGGATTGATGGTTTAGGAGGAGTTGGGGAAAGGGTTTGGGGTTTTGGGAAAACTGGCGGCGATGCAAAGAAAGCGTTTCGGAAGGCAGATTGCCGTGACGTAAATGGAACTGCCTGAAGGGAGTCCATCAGCAGAAAGACATGATAGCAGTCACAAGCTTTGTCACCAGTTACACTGCTTGCCGTTTAGTCCTTGTTTTCTTCTTCTTCTTCTTCTTTGTCTCGGCGCCTTCTGCTGCTAGTCTCGCAACTTATGCAAGTATGAGTCTTGGGCTCTTGGGAATAAGGCGAGCATGAGACGAGCCGCAAGCTCCAAAGCTAGTCCTCAACCGGAGATGGTTGCTAGCACGGTATCCGTGACGGCGAATGTGGACTTGTGAGTAGGCTCCGGACTATGAGTTCGGTATACTATAAGGTAACCATAAGGGCCATAAGGTAGCTATAAGGGTACTTCTAAAATGGTTCCTATGTGGTCGTTAGAACTTGCTATGAACTTCTTCTCATGATCCATGCATGCGGGCGAGTAGGCTTTTGGTTCTAGTACCCTTCTAGTATCCTTCTGGTACCCTGAAAGTGCCCTTATAGTATCCTTGCTGTAACCTCAATCGTACCCTGACAGCTTTATACTGGGAATTTAAGGCGCCGTGCCTAGGCGCATGGTTCTGCATGTGAACAACTGCTTCGACCAGCTGTTGGAGTCCGTAAGCGCCCATGGCCCAGTGGGATTGGGTTTCTGTTTCAGCTGTGCATGAAGAAGATGATGATAATGACGACGATGATCACGATGTTGTTGATGGTGACGACGATGATGATGATGATGATGGAAGGCGTGATTTCGACTATGGTGATAACTTTTGCCGTCGTGCATGGTACAGACATGAAGAACAAGACTTGGATGACCAAGCGGAGAGCAAGACAAGGCTTGCAATGGCGATGGTGGCTTGGTTGCTCGTGATGATCACGATGAAAGCAGCAACGACGGTCATGTCAAGAAGACTGGCATGTGGTTGTTGATGCTGATTGTTATCTTTGTGGAACTGCTGATGAATGTCGATGGTTGTTGTCGGGGCAATCGTGGTGGTGATGTGGGTGTTTGTAAGATAAGCCTTGCTAACTATCTTGAAGGTGCTGGCAACTGGTCATGATGCTGCCTTTGAGGTTGCTTGCCATGAACATGATGATGTTGTTGTTGTCGAATCAGGATGATCACCGTGTTGATGGTTGATGATGATGGGGGTGATGAAGATGACGATGGTGGCAATGAAGACGACGATGGGGATGACTTGGCGCTGTTGTCGTGGACATCGCTGTAGCAAGACTGATCGGGTGAAATGCACCCCTCGTCTATCCTCTTGCCCACATTTGTTGAAGGGTCCAGGCGCCTCAGAGCTTCAGACATCAGGTGCCTCTCAAAAAGATCAGCGCCGTGGCAGTCTCAGTCACTTCAGTTGCTGTCTTCCCAAAAGCTCCTTCAAAGGTGCAGCTTAAACGCTCGGAGTTCAGTAGACTACACTGTCTGCTTCCCTGAGTGAATATCGCGTGGCTCCTTGCAAATTGCCAAGGCAAGGGGGCGGGTCTTAAGCTCACAAAAACACGCGACGCGTTTCGCCCCGTGCACAAGCTGAGATCACGGAGCAGATCCAGCGAATGGATCGCCTCATCGGTTCGCTCCAGAAGAGCCCAGACGAGGTTCTTAAGGGGAAGTGCGGGAAGTTTGCAGTCTTGCAGGAAAGATTGTGAAGATTTCAGCAGCCTATGGTTCTTGCAATAGGAACTGTAGTGAGAACGATGTTGTTGGTGATGATGGCTATGAGTGCGTCCGGTGCACTGTGTGCAACATGATACTAGTAATTGTCGTGTGTAATGCACTACTTCGTTCTAATCCCACTGCTGCTGCTGCTGCTGCTGCTGCTGCTGCTATCATTACTACAGACTACTGCTCTTCATCGTCATCATTTTCCTTTGTTGTTTTCATTTTCTTCGGATTGCTGCTTGCCCGTTGTTGCCAGCAGGTGCCGACTTTCCATTTCGACACGCGTACCGGCTGACGAGGAAGCAGGAAACATCAAGCAGCCACGGCACAATCCCAATGTCCCCACGTCCCAAGTCCAACACCGCCCCAAGCATTACTCGCCAGATGGACGGCAAAGCAGGCTGTGTCGGTCTCAGCACCAGCTCCACCGTTGAAGAGTCGCTCAATCAATGCACGTCCTGTCAACGGTATTCAGAGAGAATGATAGCATACTTCGGAACTCTTGCACGGTTGATGTTGGGTTGCTGTGCCACGCCTGCGTATCGACAGTTCCAGCTCACGACGGGGCCTCGCTCCTTTGCAGGGTATATGTATAGGGTTGGAGCCCAGTTCCATGACGTAGAGCTTGTTCTACTTCGTGCTTTTCTGGGAGGCGCTTCGTTTGCTGGTTATTATGAACTACTGTTCATAAGCGTTACTCTTTCCGATCATTTTCTCATATGTCCGCACTGATAGAAGTTTCTATTCGTAGACGCATTGCTCTTCCGAGGCTTAGTTCCGCTCTGATGCTTCAATTCTAAGGTCCTGAACCCTTAGATCCCTAGATCTCTCAAAATTCCTAGGGTCTGTTTTCGCCAGGATGGGTACTACAGCTATCCGTACTGCCATGGTTCCACATGCTATCGTCCCATTGATAACCCCAAACCATAAACTCTAAGCCTGGGGGGCTTTAAGAATCCTGATAAACACACCTGCAAAATCCTGCAAAATCCGCTAACAATTCAACCCGAAACCCTACTACACAACTCTACATAATTCCCTGTCAAGAACACATATCAAATTTCTTGAAAAAACCTCTTTAAACAATTTATACAAAATATATAAACCTTAGACCCTAAACCCTAA